CACAAAAGTCAACATCAACACCGAAATAAATCACCAACTTAGTTCTGTGAGTGCAGCGGTTTTTCGTACGAAACAGAGAGTGTTTGAGGATCAGGACATTCGTAGGGATACCATGATGCTTGTTTACAAAGCATCCCAACCCTGTTACATGCTATCTACAGATAATCAACTTCTGGAATGATTCCATCACCGCTTCCTCCGAAAAATCCTGCAAATCTGTTGTGATAGATGGTTGTAGCAATGCTTTGTGGTGTCTGTGTGGGAAGTTTGCCCCAATTCTGTCATTGGTGGTGTTCAGAATGCTCTTTGATTGTAGGTGAACTATAAATCCCAGTAACTACAACTCCCAAATGTCAAATCCCCATTCGGCTACAAATCCCCAAACTCCATCTGTGTTCATATTTGGGCATATGGAATATTTGTGCCAAGTTTGGTCCAGATCCATCATTGTTTGAGTCCACAGTGCTCTCTGGATGTAGGTGAACTACAACTGTCAAACTCAAAGTCAATACCCACCAAACCTTCTAGTGTTTTCTGATGGTCATGGGAGACCTGTGTGCCATATTTGGCCCAATTCTATCGTTGGTGGAGTTCAGAATGCTCTTTGATTGTAGGTGAACTATATATCCCAGCAACTAAACTCCCAAATGACAACATCATTTTTTTTAGTGAAGGACATACATTGGGTTGTTATGTGTATTGTGTCCAAATTTGGTGTCAATTAGTCGAGTGGTTTTTGAGTTATGTTAATCCCACAAATGAATATTACATTTTTAGTTATATAAGATGAAGCACAAAAATAATTACAGTATGTCACATTTTGATATTTTTCAAAATACTGTACAATGCAGTATTTACAGGAAGTATACACCACAGGCAAAAATACACCACATATTCTAAAATAATTATTTATTGCAGTGTGTTATTAGCTGCAATGTATCTAGTATTAAATAAAGCTGTACCAGCACAAAAGGCACATAAGCAACTATGATACAAAAATATGTAGTTTCAGAGACAAATATTATTGAGCTGCATATCAGTTTATGTATTTAACTTACAATATTTTAAATTTATACTAGAAAAATATATTAAATTATTAAAATATAACTCCTAGTTGTGTGACATTATGCATGCTTTTTTAATTTCATTTTTGTGGGTATTTTATGTGAGATCTTTTGTATCCAATGCACAAACTAAGGGCTGTTATTTCTTGCCTGAAGTACCACATGTTCACTGCAGCACCTACATAATATATTCTTCTTTAAAAACCTGGCCATCACATTGGACCGAGCAAAACCAGAAGTAGTAAAGGATTTTCTTCACAAAAGTCTGTGTGTCACCAAGCTACAATTCGCTGATGACTGTTGGGACTGTGTTCAAAATACATGAAATCTATGAGGAAGGCGGCTGCGAGCGTGACGGCTTTCATTTTAATGTCAAGGTTCAGGGGAAACTGGACCCCAATGTCATCAGCGTCTGTAAACATTTCCTTTACGAGGCCACCCCACAGCTTAGAGATTCTGCCAACATTCGATTTCCCATCCAGTGACATCAGGTCGAATAGAACATCTGCCCCACAGCTGCAAACAAGGAAAGGCCCAACAATTTTAAGTATATCCACGTGGGCTTCATTCTGGAGAGTAAATTTAGGCAGGCAGAAGTCCCAGTTTTGTATAACATACCCAATGGGAGTGCCAGGTGGAGCCTGGACTTCGAGCTTTTGCAAACAGCAAGGAAAACAACACCTGGAGCACCGAAGTGGCCGTGTCAACTGGATGATTTCTTGGGCCAAGTTGTTGAAGATTCTGATGGTAAATGGCCGATCTGCTCCCCAACAATACAGGTTACAGAAGTTGTTCTCCTCCAGTGCATAGTACATTCGTTGACCAGCGTCATTTTTTATTTCGTACCGGTTACACGTTTCAAGGTTAGTCAATATTTCTAAAATCTCAATCTTTTGATGAAGCAACAGCCGATCAATCTGGCTTAAATATTCCAATCCGGGAGGACAGTTGAGCAAAGGAGGAGGGGCAGGCATCCAAACCGTCCTCTCCGACTGATGGGGGTGGCCTGCGGGTGATCCATAAGGCCCTGGGGTGCTTTGGGTTAGGCTGCTTACTGATTCTAAAGGCCCCAAGAAACGTGGTCCATACATATAGGTAGATAGTCTACGTCGTTCTTCTGATGGTGGAATCCTAGGAACCGAAGATGTGGCTGTGGGTATACGTGGCTGCATTGGTACACATCAGCATACAGCTGTTTTTGGGGGAGTTACACTGTTCTCTCGGCATGCCTCTTTCTCTTCACCCAACTGAAGTTGTTCTTTAATATTTTCTTGTACTGAGGACCATTCAACCCAATGAGCCTGAAGTCTTTGATGATAGAGCCACCTCACTGGTAGAACTTAGTTCTAGATATCAGTGGGCCTATTGTTAGGTCATAGTGTTCAGAAGCTGCCATTGTTCTCCAGAAGGTGAAAGAGGAAGTGGAGGAGACATAGATACGCATCTTCATAGACAGATGCCAAACTTAATGCTACAGATATAGAGGAGTCAAAGAGAAGTGAAACACACAAATGCATGTGAGCCCTGAACTGGAGTCCAAAAACTGCCTTGAAACACTTGAAGCCCACTTCAAAGGGGTTAGACTGAGAACTGTTTTTCACGTGGTCTTTTGAAGACTGTCATTGCTTTGTATATCAAAAAGAACAGAGGGAAGTACAGGTATACCTCAGTTACATGTGTTACTGTGCATTATTTCTTTAACAGGATACAACAAAATCCACAAATGTGTGATATCTTAAATTGTTTGTTGATACAATTTGAAGCCAAGAAGGAAGAAAGTGGTTCTTGGTATCTCCTGGACTTTGATTCCAGGACCTTTGTGGATATCAAAATCCATTAATGCTCCAGTCCCATTATGTACAATGCTGTAAACCAAGCCAAAACCAGGGTCACAGCAACATCTGTTGTAGAACTCCAATATGCTGATGATAATGTAGTCTGTGCTCATCCAAAAGAAGACCAACAAGTAACTCTAAACACCTTTGCAGAAGCATACAAAAACCTTGGCCTCTCACTGGACATCGATAAAACCAACGTGCTCTGTTAGCAGGCATTATTCAAACCCTCTGCAATGCCAGAAAAAAACAGCTTAATGGTGTAACATTAGAAAATGTTGACAATTTCTGCTACATTGGCAGGCACCTCTCCACAAAAGTCAACATCAACACCGAAATAAATCACCAACTTAGTTCTGTGAGTGCAGCGGTTTTTCGTACGAAACAGAGAGTGTTTGAGGATCAGGACATTCGTAGGGATACCATGATGCTTGTTTACAAAGCATCCCAACCCTGTTATATGCTATCTACAGATAGTCAACTTCTGGAATGATTCCATCACCGCTGCCTCCGAAAAATCCTGCAAATCTGTTGTGATAGATGGTTGTAGCAATGCTTTGTGGTGTACATCTTTGCTCAACAGAGCTAATCAGTAACTAAGAGTTGCACAGCCACCACCAAAGAATGGTTGAACTTCAAAACAGGATTTTGGATGAGGAAAACTCAATCTGTGCTCAAACATTACACACAATATCTCTTTCCCTTTAAAAAAGTGGTTCCAATCCCAATCTGTTTTTGAGCAGGGACCACATTGACCAAAAACCACTCTCCAACATTAGTATCAAAAGGGATAGGCCTGGTCAGCCCTTAACCAGCATTCAGTTTCTGAAAACCAAACTGAAAATCAAAAGGTCTTTGAAGGAGTTCAGAATGATGATTTTTTTGTGCCAGAGTGGCCAATTTGTGTCCCTCCACTTGTTGTTGGACTGTAGCTGCCATCAGTCCAAATCAACATAGCCAGTAATGAAGAGTGATAAAGTTTGCACAACATCATCTGGGCAGCCACAGATCGTCCATCACCGTATGTCCTTAACTAAGAATAAGGTTTTTATATATTCTAGCCGTCCCCTGCCACGCGTTGCTGTGGCCCAGTCTGGTGATCTGGAAAATAAAGTAATGTGAAAGTGTGGGTTTCTAATATATGTAATATTTTGTTGTTTCTTCGTCAGTGTGGATGTGTAGATGGTCTGGTTTGCCTACTTTGGAATATGGAACACATAATTGCCCTTCTTTAGGGGTCCCTTTCAAATCTATGATACTATATCTCTCTGTGTGTGTGAATCATATATATCTATCTATACTTATGACTGGATGACTCTTTGTCAGGAGGGCTTTGATTAGATTTTCTTGTCCTGGTGAAGAGAGTTGAACTGGATGGCCTTAAGTATTTTCTGTTGGTCATGGGGGTTCTGTGTGGGAAATTTGCCCCAATTCTGTCATTTGTGTGGTTCAGAATGCTCTTTGATTGTAGGTGAACTATATATCCCAGCAACTAAACTCCCAAATGACAACATCATTTTTTTTTAGTGAAGGACATACATTGGGTTGTTATGTGTATTGTGTCCAAATTTGGTGTCAATTAGTCCAGTGGTTTTTGAGTTATGATAATCCCACAAATAAATATTACATTTTTAGTTATATAAGATGAAGCACAAAAATAATTACAGTATGTAACATTTTGATATTTTTCAAAATACTGTACAATGCAGTATTTACAGGAAGTATACACCACAGGCAAAAATACACCGCATATTCTAAAATAATTATTTATTGCAGTGTGTTATTAGCTGCAATGTATCCAGTATTAAATAAAGCTGTACTAGCACAAAAGGCACATAAGCAACTATGATACAAAAATATGTAGTTTCAGAGACAAATATTATTGAGCTGCATATCAGTTTATGTATTTAACTTACAATATTTTAAATTTATACTAGAAAAAATATATTAAATTATTAAAATATAAGTCCTAGTTGTGTGACATTATGCATGCTTTTTTAATTTCATTTTTGTGGGTATTTTATGTGAGATCTTTTGTATCCAATGCACAAACGAAAGGCTGTTATTTCTTGCCTGAAGTACCATATGTTCACTGCAGCACCTACATAATATATTCTTCTTTAAAAACTTGGCCATCACATTGGACCGAGCAAAACCAGAAGTAGTAAAGGATTTTCTTCACAAAAGTCTGTGTGTCACCAAGCTACAATTCGCTGACGATTCTCGTGACTGTGTTCAAAATACATGAAATCTATGAGGAAGGCGGCTGCGAGCGTGACGGCTTTCATTTTAATGTCAAGGTTCAGGGGAAACTGGACCCCAATGTCATCAGCGTCTGTAAACATTTCCTTTACGAGGCCACCCCACAGCTTAGAGATTCTGCCAACATTCGATTTCCCATCCAGTGACATCAGGTCGAATAGAACATCTGCCCCACAGCTGCAAACAAGGAAAGGCCCAACAATTTTAAGTATATCCACGTGGGCTTCATTCTGGAGAGTAAATTTAGGCAGGCAGAAGTCCCAGTTTTGTATAACATACCCAATGGGAGTGCCAGGTGGAGCCTGGACTTCGAGCTTTTGCAAACAGCAAGGAAAACAACACCTGGAGCACCGAAGTGGCCGTGTCAACTGGATGATTTCTTGGGCCAAGTTGTTGAAGATTCTGATGGTAAATGGCCGATTTGCTCCCCAACAAAACAGGGTACAGAAGTTGTTCTCCTCCAGTGCATAGTACATTCGTTGACCAGCGTCATTTTTTATTTCGTACCGGTTACACGTTTCAAGGCCAGTCAATATTTCTAAAATCTCAATCTTTTGATGAAGCAACAGCCGATCAATCTGGCTTAAATATTCCAATCCGGGAGGACAGTTGAGCAAAGGAGGAGGGGCAGGCATCCAAACCGTCCTCTCCGACTGATGGGGGTGGCCTGCGGGTGATCCATAAGGCCCTGGGGTGCTTTGGGTTAGGCTGCTTACTGATTCTAAAGGCCCCAAGAAACGTGGTCCATACATATAGGTAGATAGTCTACGTTGTTCTTGTGATGGTGGAATCCTAGGAATCGAAGATGTGGCTGTGGATATACGTGGCTGCATTGGTACACATCAGCATACAGCTGCTTTTTAGGGAGTTACACTGTTCTCTCGGCATGCCTCTTTCTCTTCACCCAACTGAAGTTGTTCTTTAATATTTTCTTGTACTGAGGACCATTCAACCCAATGAGCCTGAAGTCTTTGATGATAGAGCCACCTCACTGGTAGAACTTAGTTCTAGATATCAATGGGCCTATTGTTAGGTCACAGCGTTCAGAAGCTGCCATTGTTCTCCAGAAGATATATAGGTACGGATCTTCCTAGACAGATGCCAGACTTAATGCTGCAGATATAGAGGAGTCAAAGAGAAGTGAAACACACAAATGCATTTGAACCCTGACCTGGAGTCCAAAACTGCCTTGAAACAGTTCAAACCCACTTCAAGGGGGCTTAGACAGAACTGTTTTTCACGTGGTCTTTTGAAGACTATTGTTGCTTTGTATATCAAAAAGGACATGGGGAAGTACAGGTATACCTCAGTTAATGAAGTACCATACATGTGTTCCTGTGCATTATTTCTTTAACAGGATACAACAAAATCCACAAATGTGTGATATCTTAAATTGTTGATACAATTTTAAGCCAAGAAGGAGGAAAATGGTTCTTGGTATCGGCTGAACATTGGTTCCAGGATCTTTGTGGATATCAAAATCCATTAATGCTCCAGTCCCATTATGTACAATGCTGTAAACCAAGCCAAAACCAGGGTCACAGCAACATCTGTTGTAGAACTCCAATATGCTGATGATAATGTAGTCTGTGCTCATCCAAAAGAAGACCAACAAGTAACTCTAAACACCTTTGCAGAAGCATACAAAAACCTTGGCCTCTCACTGGACATCGATAAAACCAACATGCTCTGTTAGCAGGCATTATTCAAACCCTCTGCAATGCCAGAAAAAAACAGCTTAATGGTGTAACATAAGAAAATGTTGACCATTTCTGCTACATTGGCAGCCACCTCTCCACAAAAGTCAACATCGACACCAACTGAGTGCAGCATTTTTTCGAATGAAACAGAGAGTGTTTGAGGATCAGGACATTCGTAGGGATAGCATCATGCTTGTTTATAAGGCTAGTGTCCTCCCAACCCTGTTATATGCCTGTTATATGCTATCTACAGACAGTCAACTTCTGGAGTGATTCAATCAGTGCTGTGTCTGAAAAATCCTGCAAATCTCTTGGGAAGACAGACAGACAGATGTCAGTGTGCTGGAAGAAGCAAATACCACCAACATTGACGTGATGAAGCTCCACAGTCAACTTCGCTGGACTGGCCACGTTGTCCAAATGCCCAATCACTGTCTCCGAAAGTACGTAGCTCCTCTACTCCCAACTCAAGAATGGAAAATGGAAGGTTGGTGGACAGGAAAAGAGATTTAAAGGTGGGCTTAAAGCCAACCTTAAAAACTGTGGCCTAGACACTGAAAAGTGAGAAGCCCTGGCCCTGGAGTGCTCTAACTGGAAGTCAGCTGTTTTCAACCATGCTGTGGAATTTGAAGAGGCACAAATGGAGGGTGAAAGGGAGAAACGTTCCAAGAGGAAGGTGCGTCAAGCCAACCTTTACTGGGACTGCTTTCCATCTGGAAATCAATGTCCTCACTGCAAAAGAACATGCAAATCTAGAATAGGTCTCTACAGTCACTTACGGACCCACTACCAAAACCCTACACTTGGAAAGCAATCATACTTGGCCACAAGTGATAGCTTATGATGATGTACAGTTCTGTAGTTAAATGGTGTTCCTTAAATAAAATGGCAAAATTAAGCCTTGCTTTTGTGTGAGAAAGAGGGGGTGGGATAGCGAGAAAGAGAAAAGGAGTGGGCAACTATTTCCAAGCCATGGATGGTTGAATCAGTGGATGCAGAATCCATATAGTCTGAAAAATATAATTGCAGAGCTTTCACTTGTCTGTTGATATGTAGCTTGTGCTCTCTCACTGTGTTGTAAAATGACAACATGGTAAATGTGCCAGTCACTGTGGCTTTGTTCAAATGGGACAAACACAATTCAGCCAGCTTTGACAGCTTCATTACCTTGTGTGAAAGTTTCAGTGAATCTAACTACGTCTTTTTAAAATATTTTTATTATTTTATCATGGTTTAATACATTTGTTATACATTTGTTTTACAGCAAAAACATATTATTCAATACAACCTAACATACTTTTGGCATCTAGTGTTATTTTTCTGCTTATACATATTATCTATCTCTCACCGCAGTGCTCCCTCCCCCCTCCCAAGCCACAGCTTTTACATGTCATCTGTCCAAAATTTCAATTCTTCTTGTGGAGGTAACTTTCCTTCTTTATTTTTTAATCCTTTTCCAATAAATTTGCTCCATACATCATCAAAATCACTTTGTTTCCATATACCTCTTTTAACTTTTAATATACATGTCAGCTTATCATTTATTGCCAATTTCCATACTTCCTTATACCACTCCTCTATTTGTATATTTATTTCTTTTTTCCAGTTCCTTGCTATAAGCAGTCTTGCTATTGTTAATAAATTTATTAAATTTATCCTTCTTTATCCTCTTTTTTCAATGGTTTATTATTATATAATGATAATAAAGCTATAATAGGACTTCTTTCTATTTTAATATTCATTATATCTTCTATTTCTCTAAATACTTTCCCCCCAAAATTATTTACATATTTACATTGCCACCACAAATGTATATATGTTCCTGGTTCTTGACATCCTCTCCAACAATTTTTTGAATAGTTTTTATTTATATGTGCTATTCTTACTGGTGTTAGGTACCATTTCCATATTAACTTAAAATAATTTTCTTTAACCAGTACTGATAATTATTTTAGATGTCTTTGTTGCCACTCTGTTTCATTTATTTTTATCCCTAAATCTTCTTCCCAGACCTTCTTGAGGGTGTTATTTTTTTGTTTTTCCTTTCTTTATTTCAATTATTCTTATATTCTCTATTTTACTAGTTATTCCTTTCAAATTTTCATGCTCCTCTACAACCCTTCCATTTTGTATTATTTGTTCAAATTGGTTAAGCTTACTTCCGTCTGATTCCACTTCTTTGAGCTCTGAGGATTACCTGGGAAGGAATCCCACTGGAGCATTGCAGCACACCAAAATATCTGGGAGTTACTCTGGACCGTGCTCTGACAAAAAAACGGCACTTGACTATCAAGCAAAATGTGGGTGCTAGAAATAACATTGTACGAAAGCTGACTGGCACAACACGGGGATCACAACCAGACCCAGTGAAGACAGCTGCCCTTGCACTTTGCTACTCTGCTACTGAATATGCATGCCCAGTGTGAAAGACATATTACCACATTAAAACAGTGGATGTGGCTCTTAATGAGACATGCTGTATTATCACAGGATGTCTACACCCTACACTGCTGGAAAAATTATACTGTTTAGCTGGTATTGCACCACCTGACATCTGTTGGGAAGGAGCAACCAGCAATGAAAGGACCAAGGTATTGACATCTCCAGCCCATCCTCTGTTCAGATATCAGCAGCCAATATATTAAATCAAGGAATAGCTTCCTAAGATCTACAGAAATACTCACAGGAACACCTCAGCAAGCGAGAGTCCAAAAGCAGCAGGCCAAAACTTGGAACCTTTATCAGTGACTGATACCGGATACTAGGCACACTGAAGACTGGGCAGCTTGGAAGGCATTGAACAAACTGCACTCTGGTACCACGAGATGCAGAACCAATCCTAAGAAATGGGGCTACAAAGTGCAGTCCACTAATGCAAGTGCGGAGAAGAGCAGTCACAGACCACTTAGTACAATGCAGTCTGAGCCCCGCCACATGCACAATGGAGGACATTCTTATAGAAACACCGAAGGCACTCCAGCTACTGGTCAAAGGACATTTAATGTAATGTCAAGGTTTTTAAACTACATTACAACTCTACTCTCGGTTCACTTCTGAAACTATTTAAAAAAGCGAAGAGTGTGGTGCTGAACGAAGAGATGAATGGAATGGCAACTTTGGTATGAAAGGAACAGAGCATCTCACTTGATTTTAAGCAGGACAAAGATTTGGAAATATTTCCAGGAGATTACAGAATAGAATTGTGTTTGTATACACTCTCCGCCTTTAAGCTTGCCAGTTCTCTCCCTCTCCCCTTCTGTATCTCGTTCTTTCTCTGTATCTCTTTCTTTTTCTGTCTGACTTTCGCCAGTGACTCCTCGGTCAGACTGACCTACCTGAGAGTGCTGTTGTGAGGCTGAAGTGGGCAGGAGACCCATGCATGCTGTGCTCATTGGAGTAAAGACAGGTTATAAAGGTAACAGTTACATTAACAAAAACTGAAACTTTTTGCTTGTTTCAGAATGTCTGTATGGTTGATGCTGTGCTTCATTGCTGTGCATTCAAGCTTGGTGTTCATTAACCAGGGGAATCAATTTGCCTGGTGTAGTAGTTTCAGCATTCAAACTGTGCAGGTACAGCTGTACCAGGAGCTCCAATTTTGTTTGCTTTGCATTTAATGTTTGTTGTAGTCCTAAGTTTCAGGGACTCTGCAGATAGGTGGCTTCTTTTGGCTGCAATCATAGGGCAAGCCACCTGTCAATTATAGTTAGGTTCCCTGGTCCCGCCCCCTTTTTGGGTTTTGGAGGGAATAGGAACCAGTTTGGATTCAGTCCACACAGAGAAGCTTTCCATGCAGGACATAATACCAAGAGCTCCTGTAGAAAGCTTCGTCTTCTACAGCTTGGCCGGGGTTATACAGCCCACAGCTTGGCCGAGGATCATACAGCCTTACAGCTCCTTTGGGGTCAGCCATCACTGAAACCTGAACTCCTTTTTCCCTAGAAGTCTACAAAGCTCTGCTTGGTAAGGGTCACTCGCGGAAGCCAGAAGCAGTTGGTACCAAGTGCAGGGGCTCCACGCCATCAGAGGCAAAGACAGACTGCCCAGATTAGAAGTTAAGGATTTCCCCATTAGTTACAGTTATGAAGATAGTGCCTGTTCCCTGTGGACAAGATTGAGAGAAAGCCAATAGACTGTTAAGAAAGCTTTAAAGTACCTGTTTGTTTTCATTAATAAAGAACTTTGTTGTACCTTTGAGCAATCTAGAGACTCTGTTTTAAGGAAATCCAAAGGCCTTTAATCTGAGGCAGCCCCGGCGTCCTGTTGGGCACACAGAATTTATGTCCTGTCTACAGTCTTATGCACAGGCCCAGCGTGTGACAGAACACAAACCCTTGTTCGACCATGAAACTCACTGCTTAATGTAGAGCAAGTCATATTCTCTGAGCCTGAGAAGAAGGCAACGGCAAAACTTCGGAACAAATCTTGCCAAGGAAACCTTGTGATGGGGTCACTCTAGGTCAGTAATGACCTGAAGGCACACAATAACAAACCTCATTGCAAATGGGAATGCTTCTTTCTCAGCAAACTCCATAATAACAAACTGGGCTCTGCATAAAACTATGACCTGACTTCAGCCCACCTTGGGAAATATGTATATTAATAATACTGACCTTCTTGCATGGTTATTACTGTGGTTGCTGGGAGGAAGTGCATTGAAAGCCACGAGCAATTTAGAAATGCTATTACTGTTCATTTGGTAAGTGGATACATGCGCAGGTCTAGACCTTTTAAACATTTTCCTTTCCATGGACATTAGCTCAATAAAGATTACCTGTAAATTCAGCCCCAAGTTATTCTCTCAGTGGGGTTCTGTGGTTTTCACGGAGCTTTCTGCCTGTGCAAATGTTAATGTCCATTATGAGTACCAAACAATAAGCAACCGGCGGATTTGAATAAAGCACTGTATGCAGAAGTAAGGATACCTGATTTCCCTTTGGCTTGCAAATGAATAATATTGATTTATCTCTGGCCATGCATGGCTACAGCCATTAATCAGTAAACACTGTGTAAATGCTTGCAAGGCAATCATTTAGCACTGTATTAGAGATCAACAAAGTAACCCGGTGAATTATTCGTTCACAGGGCACCTGTTAATCTACTTTTGACATTGCTAATTTGTAAAGGATACATTCTGCTTCAGGAAAATCTCAGGGCTTTGCAGTATACACTTGTAATATGCAGAATGTGTGGGTATGTTGTTAATGATGCAACACTAGTATATATGTGAATCTAGGGTAGCTATGTTTTGAAATAGCAGGAAAGGGACACACACACGACAACTGATGATTTCAAAACACTAATTGTAATGATCAGATTTCACTTTAATTACTTTCACTTTAAATGCTTCTACTACAGTGTTTCTCAACCTGGGGGGTAGGACCCATGGGGGGGATCACGAGGGAATGTCAGAGGGGTTGTTCATAGGGGTTCTGTGTGGGAAGTTTGGCCCAATTCTGTCATTGGTGGGGTTCAGAATGCTCTTTGATTGTAGGTGAACTAAAAATCCCAGCAGATACATCTCCCAAATTTCAAGGTCTATTTCCCCAAATTCCACCAGTGTTCACATTTGGGCATATTGAGTAGTCATGCCAAGTTTGGTCCAGATCTACAATTGTTTGAGTCCACATGCTCTCTGGGTGTAGATAAACTACAACTCCAAACCAAAGGACACTGCCCACCAAACCCTTCCAGTATTTTCTGTTGGTCATGGGAGTTCTGTGTGCCAAGTTTGGTTCAATTCCATCATTGGTGGAGTTCAGAATGCTCTTTGATTGTGGGTTAGCTATAAATCCCATCAACTACAACTCCCAAATGACAAAATCGATTCTCCCCCCAACCCCACTAGTATCCAAATTTAGGCATATCAGGCATTTGTGCCAAATTTGGTCCAGTGAATGAAAATACATCCTGTGTATCAGATATTTACATTATATAACAGTAGTAAAATTACAGTTATGGAGTAGTAACAAAAATAACGTTATGGTTGGGAGTCATCACAACATGAGGAACTGTATTAAGGGATCACGGCATTAGGGAGGCTGAGAACCACTCTTCTACTACATAAGCTGTGATAACTGATACAGAACTACTGTATAACCCTGGTATCCGCAGGACTGGGACCTGTAGCTTCATTTACCCATATCTGGTGAAATACATCTTCTCTAGACATTTTAAGGCACTCCTGGTGATTCTATAACATATGTCTTTTGGAAGATGTTTATAGAGATATGCCTTAAGATCTAGTGATACTTAGGGAGGTGTTCTCTCTGGGGAATTCCTAGGTCTTCCAGTCCAACTCTGTGCTATGTTTCTGCAGGAGGACATTTGTTCAATAGGTTCGCTATTTCTTGTGGCTTTGCGTATCCATGCGAAGTCCTGCAACAAATCCTCACAAACAAAGTCCTAAAATCCCCACAGATTTGGAGACAGTGAGCGATCTTTCAGGAATGCTTAGAGAAGACAATGATGCTGGGGAAAATGGAAGGAAAAAGGAAGAAGGGCCGACCAAGGGCAAGATGGATGGATGGTATCCTTAAAGTGACTGGCTTGACTCTAAAGGAGCTGGGTGTGGCCACGGTTGACAGGGAGCTCTGGCATGTGCTGGTCCATGAGGTCACAAAGAGTTGGAAGTGACTGAACAAATAACGAGCCATCTGAAAAAAACTGGGCAAGTACTGCATATTAATAATGACTGGAGCACGAACAAAAGTTTGTGTACACTGCACCATCAGAATGCAAATGTGTCACTATCTGAGCCAGTTATGTAGACAACTTTGAATTTTAGAGCCTTTTAGAGTAAGGGATACTCAACTGTAAAGGTGGAACCTGAATTGGAGTCCAGTGCAGGCAGCCATAAAGTAGGCGAATAATCTTCTCTGTGTTGAAATGTTGATTGTTACCACTTAGTATCTAGAAAATTCTCAATATGATAGACCTTTCCATGGAAAGATATGACATGGCTTCCAATATTTCCCATGGGGAAGCCCTTCAGCCTTTTGACCAAATCCCTGTCAGATATAAATGTGTGTGTCTCTGATGGTTTGAACATTGGGCTACAACTTTGGAGACCAGGGTTTGGTCCTACAATGAGCCATGAAAACCAATTTGGTAACCTTAGGCAAGGCATTGCCTCTCCAGCCCAGAAAACCCTGTGATAGGTTTGCTTTAGGGTAACCAGACAGAAGTGACGTAAAGGTAAACAACAAAATCTTTGAATAATACAGTAATAATCCTCTATGGATCTTCTCTAAGCTAGAACATTAGTACAAGAACGAAGAAGATCTTCTCTCAAGTCCCCACCAAACTATAGGCTCAGTTTTTAAAAAAAGAGGAGATTGCGGGAGATTATAAGATTTTCAAAGTGTCTTCTGTGTAGCAGGCTGGAAGCTGTCATTTAAGAAATTTCCATGGATTCACCTTTTCTTCTTGCCTTTATTCCCCAAATCTGAAAGCCGTAATGAATCTTCAAGAGTCCAGGAAAAAAATATTGTTTGGTGATGGAAAGTTGACTGTGGTCCTTAATGTCTGCATCACTTGTTGTCTTCTGCCAGTTAAAAAGAGACGTGTGAATGAATAACAAGTGTTTTTTTATGTTTTGTATCTCTTCAGTTATTCAGATGCCAATCTGGATCATGGATGTTGCTCCGTCAATCCATGCATGGGCTGTGCCCTTGTGTGTCGCCGGAGTCCGCGGCTGTTAACCAATGGCTACTACGTTCTCACAGAGGATAGTTTTCTGTCTGATGAAGAGGGGAATATCACACTGAGCCCATCACAAACAAGTGTCACTTATAAAGAAAAGTTGGTTAGGTGTGTACAACTACCTAGATATCCTCTATTTGGGGGAAAGGTGTGTTCGGCTGTTTTTGAAAAAGTCATCCCTCTTTCCATTGTGGGAGAGCCATTGTCTTGATGTGGTTTGAGCATTGGACTACAACTCTGGAGAATAGAGCTCAAATCCTCAATCGTCTTAAAAAATCTACGGAGTGGCCTTGGCTGAGTTATACATTTTTGGGATGCATCTACACTGTAGAATTTATGTGTTTTAACACCACTATTTGCCATAGTTCAATACTTTGGAATCATGGGAGTTGTAGTTGCACAAGGTCTTTAACCTTTTCCACCAAAGAGTGCTGGTATCTCACCCAACTTCAAATCCTAGTATTCAAAAACATTGACCTATGGCAGTTAATGTGCATTAATTCTACAGTCTAGATGCAGTTTGCTAAACGAGTTATGAGCATCCATACCAGTCCCATTTGTAAACTTAAACTTAACTACCTATAGTTCAGTGATTGTATTTGAAATTTAATTTTAAACTAGGTTTGTGCATGGATTCAGAGTGGTTGGTTCCCTTCAGCCAATCTGGCTTGTTCAGATGGGCATAACAGCAAGGGTCCAGCCATCCTGTTTTGTTTTTTTTTTTTTTTTTTTGTCCATTATGGAACCACGTGGCAGCCGATCACGGCTTATCCTCCCCTAATCAGTATCATATGGCACACAAAGATGACATGTCTTATGCAAGCTGTGTCTGATTCCTTAACCTCATTGCTGAAACCCAGGCTCCTTTGAAGGAAAAGATCCCAGGAACAAAAAGGGGAACCTCATAAGTTCCCCATTGTCACCAATGGGATGGATGTAGCCATATTTTTCGGCTGCAAACCAAAAACAACTATCCGGCTACCTGTCCGTTTTCAGAAAGAACATGAAAACGGATAAATGGGTCTACCAGTATCCGGCTAGCAGAAATGGATCGAGGTTCACTAACCAAAAGTCTCTTGACAATCTAAAGTCTGTTAAAAATATAAAATGCAACAATTAAGGAATGATTAAAGATAGCAGAATATGGAGTCAAGATATAATTAGCAACGGAAAATAGTTTATTGGAGAGTAAGTAAGAATTCATTTTAATCTGAGTGAAGAAAAATGGATTAAACAATAAAAACTAACATATTTGCAAAAGATGGATCTTCTACTTATATTCTCTCTTGTTTGTTCTTTTTTTCATTCCAGAATATTTCGGAAGAGAAGGAAAATCCGCAAGTCTCTTGTTAGTCTTTTCAATATTGCTGCTTCTAATCCCTGGATGAAGAGCACTGCTATAGAGTCGCCTCATGTGGAGGACACTTGGTCTGAAGAAGGCAGCAAGACGGATTACCTTTGGGATTATGATAATGCTGACCACGTTGACCATGGTAGCCAATAATTATTATATTTCATACTTAAAAGTCTGTAGTATTGGATGATCATTCCTCTGATGTATAAATATGGCTGATCTTATAGCATAAGGACTTATGTGACACTTGGATTACTGTATTTTGAAAAGTCAAAAAGGAAATGCATTTATTGATTGTAGTCAGTCCTCCACATTGGCAGGTTCAGCTTCATGAATTTTATTAATATGGTCTATCTAAGAATATTTAAGTCCTCTAGCACAGGTATGGGCAAACTTTGGCCCTTCAGGTGTTTTGGACTTCAACTCCCACAATTCTGGTAGGCTGTTAGGAATTGTGGAAGTTGAAGTCCAAAACACCTGGAGGGCCAAAGTTTGCCCATACCTGCTCCAGCACAATCTATAATGAATAAATCTTGCCATGGATGAGCTCCCTCTGTCAGCTCCAGCTCCCCATGCAGGGACATGAGAGAATAAAATTTTGATAGGTCCTCCTTGGTGTCACCATGGATCAGAAATGACCTGACAATAGCAACTATATCAGGAATAGTTTTAGGACTAAGGTCAGCACAGCAAAGACCAACCCAGGACTCAGTGGATTTCAGGGTTTCTTGGTCACTCAGAGACATTTTGAAGAATTAAACATTTAATGGGTAGGTTGTGAAATCTGAGGCAATGACACCAAATAGAAAGAATCAAACATGCCAGAATAGTCAGCTAACTTCAAACTGTAGTTTCGTATCCTGGGTTGTTCTGAAGCCCATAGCAATAGTTTCCTAGTCCAGACTCAATGGAAAACAATTATCAACTAGAAAGTTGAGTTTATTCTATTATTATTATTATTATTATTATTATTATTATTATTATTATTATTCAGAGGAAAGGGGGGCAGCTATCACAGTTGATGGTTAATGAGATGATGAATGTCCTCCATATTTTAGTATAAAGTTTAGGAGAGGCTATATCCCAGGATCTGATTCCAGATTAGGTGCTTTGAACTAGATTATATGAGTCTCCACTGCCATATAATCTAGGATAATCAAATAATCTGGGATTAGATCCTGGGATATAGTGTAGAAGGAGCCAGATTTACCAAAGTTCTGAATTCTGACCCCAGAACAGTCTCACAAATGTTTCATTCGTACACGTCTTCCTTCATCCTTCTCTATCATTTATATTATTATAAATGATATAATACTGAGGAGCCCATGGTGGTGCAATGGGTTAAACCCTTATGCCAACAGTACTTAAGACTGACAGGTCAGGGGTTCGAATTCGGAAGGGGCATGGATGAGCTCCTTCTGTCAGCTCCAGCTTTGCATGCAGGAACATGAAAGAAGCCTCCCACAAGGATGGTAAAATATCAAAACATCCGGGCACCCCCTGGGCAACATCCTTGCAGAAGGCCAAGTCTCACACCAGAAGCGACTTGCAGTTTTTCAAGTCGCTCCTGACATGAATATATATAGATATATATATACACACACATACATATGCACACACACATATATTTCTCCATTTTAAGAATTTCCCAGCTTTTCTGTTTAAACTATAGAACTTTAGCATTTTCAATCTCAACGAACAACCTTTCATGATATTTTATAGGTATTGCTGATGCTGCATTGGGACACACACCTCAAAGGGCAGAAGGACATGGTGCAGCTCCAGGCAGATTCCCTCCTTCGAAAGTTCTTCCTTTTGCAAAATCAAGGCAGCAACGCCACTCTCCTTGCATCTTTCCTTTGGCAGAAGAAGCGTGCTCTTGTGAAAAATCATTCAATTCTTCCGGTGGGTTTAAAAATGTTTTCATTATTACTGAGCTATGTTTACGCTGTGCTTTGCTTTTAATATTATTAGCTGCTTTAGACCTGTGGTATTTATGTGCTACCTGTCCGTTGCTTTTCTAAAGTCCTCTAAAAGTGGAAGATTCCATGAAGATATTAAGTGACCTTTAGCTTACTGTTCATTTGCCTCTGCCTGCTCTTTTATAATGGAACAGCATTATTTTATTCCTGTCTATCTGTCTGCTTATCTATCTAATTAGCTGGCCGTCTATGCTGTGCCATTTAAAATGCTCAGAAGTGTTCGCAAGAACAGAAATAGAGCAGCAGCAGAGACATAGAGGAAATGCTTCCCCGAACAGCTGTACAGTTGTGTTGGACGTGGCGGAAACAAAAGCAGGGGGATTAATTAGCTTGCTTATGGGTTAATTCTGCTTAAGAGGCCAGTATGATTTAACCTCATTTATGCAAACATGGAACTGCAGTATTCATTTCCCATTAGCCTCTCTTTTACAAACCTTTCTTGTGCTGGGGGATATATGCTCATCAAGGCCTGCTCAATCTTTGTGATTGAARTGTATGGCACACTTTAGCCCTTAGTAATCTGCTCTGTGGCCTGAAGTAGATGGTTATGTCAATGGGTTAAGGCAGCCATGGGGCTGCATGGCAGACCAGAGCAGGGTGGGTGGACCATGTGGGGGGGGGGTCCCCTCACCACCCTTTCCTCCCCTTCCTCTTCTCTTTCAGAGGTGGAAAGTGAAGGAAAGACAGGAAATGTTTGGATCCCAAAAGGGTTAGCCTTGATCAGGATGAGATGGTGGACGGGAGATAAAAAGTCTATCCATTAGACTCCATCTTGCTTACTCCTTATATAGAATCCTAGAATACTATTTATTTATTTATTTATTTGTGCCATTTTCCGTATATACTCAAGTATAAGCCGACCCGAATATAAGCCGAGGCACCTAATTTTACCACAAAAAACTGGGAAAATTTATTGACTCGAGTATAAGCCGAGGGTGGGAAATGCAGAAGTTACTGATAAATTTCAAAATAAAAATAGATATCAATAAAATTAAATTAATTGAGGCATCAGTTGGTTAAATGTTTTTGAATATTTACATAAAACTGTAATTTAAGATAAGATCTTAAGCTCTGATTAAATCATTATTCTAATCTTCAGTGTAAATGTGCTTATGTAGCCTTCCAATAATAATAAAGATAGTATAATAATAATAATAATAATAATATCCAGCATATATACCTCGTTTGCTGTGTCATACTGTGTTTTTGTGTCAGGATGATAATAATAATAATATTAATAATAATAGAGTAAAATAATGGAAATGTAATAACAGGGATAACAGAGTAAAATTATAAATGCAGTAACAATAAGGTAAAATAATAAATGTAATAATAACAATAAAGAGTAAATAACCCTTCCTCTTCCAAGCCTCGTTTCCTCCTACTAGCACTAGTAGATGCAGAAGGCACACGCTGAGTTACAACAATAATACTAATCATAAATAAATAATAAATGTAATAAAATAATAATAGAGTAAAGTAATGTAAATATTATAATAATAATAAATATATTAAAATAATTCATGTAATAAAATGATACTAATAACAAAGTAAAATAATAAATAACCTTGACTCGAGTATAAGCCGAGGGGAACTTTTTCAGCCTTAAAAAAGGGCTGAAAAACTAGGCTTATACTCGAGTATATACAGTATATGCCGCCCTTCTCACCCTAAAGGGGAATCAGAGCGGCTTACAAGATATATATATATATATACATATATATATATATATATACACACACACACACACACAAACACACACATACAATATATTAAATTATTAGCATAGTACGATATCAGTATTATATATTACTATATTCTACTACACCATTATATTGTAATATTATTAGTATTATTACATGTAATATAAATATATATAATTTAAATATTGTATTATTATTAGTAGTAGTAGTATTATACTGTATTATATTATAATATTATAAATATTATATTTATATACAATATATTATATTGTATTGTATTATATTATTAGTAAAGCACAGGAGACAAGATGGAACTGTCTTCAACTGTAGCCCCCTCTCTCTGTTCAATTATCTTTCCAGGCAAGATTAGGTCTTAGGGAAGTTACTTTTTTCCTTAAGGTCCTCCAAGCATCCTTTAATTATCAGAGCTAGTGGATATGTAAGGCTGGATTATTTGGGGTTAAAGTACTTTTAATGTTTTGAAATTTTTTGTTATTATTTATCCCTTAAAATTGATTTTTTTATAAGCCATCCTCAGCGCTTCAGACAGAGGCTGGCATATAAATATTTTAATTACAAATGAATAAAATATAAGGCATGCTACCATTAGAAGCATGAAAACAATACTTCCATTAACTTTTGGTCTCTCTTTCAAATAGAATCTATTGTAATAAGAAATGAGCTCTACCCCATGATCCTGCTGTCCATGTGTTTGATCATTTCTCTTTGTGTAAGGTAAATGAAATCATATATATATAATACTTTTTTATATAAAAATGCATAGAGTGTTTGGAAACCTGTTTGTATCTTATGCTTGTGTAGATTCCCATATAGAAGTGTTTTGGTTTTGGAGTCTCCTTCTCTGGAGGTTTATAAACAGAGGCAGAATGACCATCTGTCGGGAGTGATTTCATTGTGTTTTCCTACATAGAAGAATAAGGCTGGGATGGATTGTATTTGGGGTCTCTTCCAACTATATGATTGTATGGGGGAAGGAACTTTCTCAGCCACACAATTTTGTTGTAGCTTATCCTTTATGTGATATAGATATTGGTGAACAACATGGTCTAGAACAGGTAGTGTGGGCCATTAGATTTATAAGAGACTGCTACACCCGTTTGACTTTTTTTCATGTCAGGAGTGACTTGAGAAACTGCAAATCACTTCAGGTGTGAGAGAATTGGCCGCCTACAAAGACATCACCCAGGAGATGCCCAGATGTTTGATGTTTTACCATGCTTGTGGGAGGCTTCTCTCATGCCCCTGCATGGGGAGCTGGAGCTGACAGAGGGAGCTCAATGCACTCTCCCCGGATTCATGTAGGCCAGCAGTCCTGCTGGCACAAGGGTTTAACCCATTGTGCCACTGTTTGACTGAAGTTCAGGGATATCAAGATTTGTGGATCCTGTTTTGACGTATAGCTATAGGACAATGGTGTCAACTTTTATGACTCAGCGACTGCATCTGGAACTGGATCCTTGGCTTGAAACTGACTGAAAGTTATTCTTTTGGTTTCAGGTTCTTCTTGGGAGTACTCCTTCCTGCTCTGCTAACTTGCTCACTATTGATCATCATTTTGATTTGTAAGCCAACTTTTGCTTATTTGATATAATTTTTCACATTGCCTTTAAAGGGTCTATTTCTCCAAAAAGGAGGTATTTGTGATGTGCCTGTTACAGTATTAGCATTGCCATTCATGTTAATAAAGCTCCTAAAGTGAGAATCTGTCTGAAATTTTAAGTGTCATAGGGAGAGAAAAGTAAAAATTGTTCACAGACTCACAGATGTAATACATTTTCTTCATTCAGTTGCTACTTGAGGATTGGGAGAATGGGGTCTAATGTCACTGTATTATTATTAATTATTATTAAACTTTATTTGTACCCCGCTACCATCTCCCCAAGGGACTCGGTGTGGCTTACATGAGGCCGAGCCCACAATACAACAATAAAACATAGCAACAGTAATACAACAATAAACAAACTCATAAACAGAAAATAGCAATAAACATTAACAATAACACAACGACATTTAAAAACCTATGGCAGGGCAAGATGTACTAATTAAAATTTTTGAAAATCACTCCAGCTTTTAGTTTGAACTTTAAAGGCATTGTCTGAGGTACTAAAACCTATTCCCAAAATAAAGTTAAGTACCTTGGATAGTTCCTGAACCGATTCTCTTCCCATCAATTGACATTGCTCCTTCCTCTTGATTCCTCAGTGGCTGAAAATTATTTATTTGGCTTGTCTTTTTTCATTAAAAGGAGGCTATTGCTCATTTATATATTTTATGTCTTTAGGTGTGCTTTGGCATAACTCTCTTTCCCTCTCTTTTCCACCAGGTTCTCCTACGGTTTTGTGCAATTCCCCTGTCAATACCAACTATGGTCAATCTGTAGAGCCAGCGTGAGATAGTCATCACATCCCTTCAGAATCTCATTTATTTTCATATTATTCTGGAATCTTTTCAGTGGAAACATTGTTAAAAAGCCATTTCACAAGCTACAATTTTGATAAGAACTTTCACACTATATTCACTATAATATATAACACAACATAACACTTTATTTATATTCCATTCTGTCTCCCCGAGGAGACTCAGAGCGGATTACAACATACATGGATAGGCAACCATTCAGTGCCTTTAATAAATTGAAATAACAATGACACACTGATAAGCAGAACAGAGGTAAAGATTTCCCCTTTCATCTCCGGTTTCTGGAGGCGGTGCTCAACTCCGGAAATGGGGAAGTGCTCTTTTCCCATTTCCAAGCTAAGGAGCCTGTTGTCTGTAGACACATGGCTGCAAGGGTGCCTTTATTACCTGCCCGCCGAAGCAGTACCTATTGATCTACTCACATTTGCATGTTTTCAAACCACTAGGGCCAACAGCGGGAGCTCACCCTGACCTGCAGTTTTGAACTGCCAACCTTTAGGTCAGCAGATTCAACAGTTTCACCCATTGTGCCACTGCAGCTCCAGCTTGGAGAAGCCATTCTGTCTTATTTAAAAAGCCTACTTCACAAGAACGTTGTAAGATTAAATGACCACTCGAGGAAGAAAAGAATTCACATAATTAATAAATAATGATGCCAAGCATACAGTCCAGCTTTGCCAGGGGTTACCCTATCCCTAGGCTATTACGTTTTCAATGTAGAGAAGATCAAGGTTTTTGTATTATTTATCTGTTATACCTATAATTCCAAGGAAGGGCAGATTTTTAAGGTATGAGAAATCTACATTTGAACATGTTACTAGAACCCCAGTATCAGGTGACAAATACAGCTATAATAATAATAATAATAATAATAATAATAATAATAATTGTGTGGTTTTCTGGCATTGTATATTTCTGCCGCTTCTGTGATGGCTCATTTGTATCTTGATTCTGTAGCCCACTTGTCGATGGATGTCCAGAATCAGTAGCATCCACCACGGTCCTTTTTCTCCTGGGCGTCGACCGAGCTAGTATAGATTTCATTTTGGTTTGCTTCTCCATAGTGCTAATGGATTAGGTGCTCTTGGTTCCACTCCTCAGCTGAGACCTCTTTGGCTTGGTTGGACCTGCTGGTAGTTGCACTACCTCCAGCACACGCTCTCAGCATCCTTAGAGCAGTTAAGCCCCCCACCATGACAAGGTGGCACCCATCGGAACACAATACACCAGACATCACAATTGTGGAAAAGAAAAAAGTCTGGATTATTGATGTTGCCATACCAGGTGACAGTCGCATTGAGGAAAAACAACAGGAAAAACTCAGCCGCTATCAAGACCTCAAAATTGAACTGCAAAGGCTCTGGCATAAACCAGTACAGGTGGTCTCAGTGGTCATTGGCAACTGGGTGCCGTGCCAAAAGATCTCAGCCAGCATTTGGAAACAATAAACATTGACAAAATCATGATCCGTCAACTGCAAAAGGCCACCTTACTTGGATCTGCGTGCATCATTCGAAAATATATCACGCAGTCCTAGACGCTTGGGAAGTCTTCGACTTGTGATTTTGTCATACGACATCCAGCATATAGATCTTGTTTGCCGTGACATACTGTGCTTTTGTGTCAATAATAATAATAATATTTTTTTTATTGCATTTATTCAATTTAACATAAACATTAAGTAAACATACCTTTATCACTAAATTATTCCT